TCCAACTGTGTGTCTGAGACACAGTTCATGAAAAACACATGATTTACTGTACCAAAGACTCCCAACCATAGATTAAAATATTTAGAGAAAGCAATGTATCTTCTATCAATTCTCCTTTTACTGACAATAAACTCATGGAGCACATTCTCAAATCTTCCCACTCTAAAAAAGTGTTGAAATGTACTCACTACCTTACTTCTGTAACTATAACCCCTCTGTACATCACCTTGACAGTAAAATTTTTTAAAAAAAGAAAAAGTATTGATACTATTATTATTTGACAAACCAGCATTTAAAAACTGAATTACATAAACACATTGGATGGCTTAAAAAAAACATATATCTCCCCTCTGTACATCATCTCCCCAATAACAATAAAATATATTTAAACAAAATAAAAACAAACAAAGCTGGGCACCAGTGGTTCATACCTATAATCCTAGTTATTCAGGAGGCTGAGATCTGAGGATCATGGTTCAAAGCCAGCCCAGGCAGGCAAGTCCTTGAGACTCTTATCTCCAGTTAACCACCAGAAAACCGGAAGTGGTGCTTTGGCTCTAAGTGATAGAGCACTCACCTTGAGCTGAAGAGCTGAGGGATAGCACCCAGGTCCAGAATTCAAGCCACAGAACCAACAAAAATAACTAAACAAATTATTATTAATTTGTTTTTATTAATCCTCACTATTCAGGAGGTTGAAATCTGAGGATCATGGTTTGAAGCCAGACTAGGCAGAAAAGTCTATGAGACTCTTATCTTCAATTAATCACTAAAAAGCCAGAAGTGGAGCTATGGCTCAAGTGGTAGAGCACTAGCCTTGAGCTAAAAAAGCCCAGGCACAGTGCCTAGAACCTGAGTTCAAGCCCAGGTCCAGCATAAACAAACAAACAAACAAACAAATAAATAAATGAAATGGAAAAGGAGTGAAGCAGAAAAGAAGAGACAAAGCCACAATATCAGTTTGCACAGCTACTATAGAGAAGGTAGACTACTTGGGTTCATATGTTGGCCATGTGATATGGAACAAATCATTTTAATGCTTTTTGAGTCAGATTGCTAAAGTTCTTATTCTGTTTCCATTTTTTCTTTTACAGTTCTGAGGACTGACTCTGGGCCTTGCACTTGGAAGGTAGCTGCTACACCTGGAGCTGGTAGAAACTTGATCAGCAAGTATAACACTTGGAATTTGAACCCCATAACTGCCCTGTCACAAAGAGCCTAGTGATAATTGGGTTTTTGTTGTTGTTGTTGTTGTTTTTGGGGGGTAACTGGTTCTGGAGCTTGAACTCAAGGCATGGGCGCTGTTCCTGAACTTGTTTTGCTCTAGGCTAGCATTCCACCATTTGTGCCACATAGCTCACTTTCAGGTTTTTGACAGTTAACTGCAGATAAGAGTCTCACATACTTTCCTGCACAGACTGGCTTCAAACCACGATTCTTCGTCTCCTGAGTAGGTAGGATTACAGGAGTGAGCCATTGGCACCTGGTATAATTAGCTTTTGAGTATATGGAAGAAATTTAAGTGAATACTCAAGCCTTGAAATCTGAGTACTCGCGGAACTACACAAGATTTTACACCTGTAGTTCATTTTAGCATTCTGTATCAGGCAGAATGAAACCTTCAAGTGAATCTCTTAGGGGTACTCTAAATGTTAATAAATATATTTAATATTATGCCATGTTGAAAGTTTACATAAGCAGTATTAGATGTTTACATTTTACTTTCTTCAAGAGGAGGACTTAATACTATGTATTCCCTCATGAAAATGCTGAAAAACACATTAGCTTATACAATTTAAGTTAGTAAACATCTAGTAAAATTCTGAAAATGTCATAAGTCGAATCTCTCAGACTGTAGGTAGTTACAGTTTGAAAGGCATTCATATACTAAGAAATCTGTTAACTGATATCAGGCAAGTATCCTGTTTGGCAATCTCAATAACAGGACATTAAGGGGAAAGTAGCAAGAGTCAAAACATCCCTCTGCCCACAACGGTGAATGAGTACCACAAATCTATCCCAGAGGTAAGAGAAGTAAATTTGAGACTTGGGTAACATCTACCATCTTCAGACTATAATAGAAAATAAGATATTTGATATGAAGATATTAACTGACCATTTTTACATTATGTTTAAGAGGTCTAAGGAAAATAAATCCTCAATATTTTAACAGAAAAATTACTGCTACAAGACAATCTTCTAAGATGCTATTATTAATTATAAATGAGAATTCATAGGCAATGTTTAACATAAAAGAGTCAGTCTTACAATCAGTAATAAAATATGATGTTACAGAGGAAGGAAGGAAGGAAGAAATATGTGAGGCTCAAAATTTATCACTTACCTCATGATTCAGCTCTGCGATCTGATCTTTCAGTTCCCTAATATACTGGTTAGAATCAGACTTGCTAAGCTGTCCTTGGAGCTTTCCTTCTTCTTTCTGTTTTGTGACAATACAACAAACCAAAAAGCTTAGACAATTTTCACAGCATGTACTCAAATAGGATAATCTAAGTGTAAATCCTTCAGTTAAACATTGATTTAACCCACTGCTAAAGTATTTCTGAAATTTATAAATAATGCTTAAATACATATATACATACATACATACAATTTACAAAATACACCTTTGGAGGGAAAATTAAAAATCAATGATTCAAGTCCCCTGATTTAAAAAAAAAATCACTCTCGTATTCAAGGCCATTTATGTAGTTATTCTGTCAAGCAGATGTTTCTCTCTTCAAACCACAAGCCTTCAGTGTATAGTCAATGCTGGGGAGGTGCTCACAGCTATGTTGGGAACCAGCTTTCACAAGAACAGAGAAGAAAAAGTTCTCCAAATCACTCTAATACAGGAGGAAACTGCTGAGTCTACTTGGCTTAATTAGTTCAGGAATCCTAGATGCAGCCTATTAAAATGACTCCTGGGTTGGGAAGGTGGCTCAGTGGTAGAGCGCTTGCCTTGCATGCCTGAGGCCCTGGGTTCGATTCCTCAGCACCACATAAGCAAAAAGAAAAAAGCTGGAAGTGGCGCTGTGGCTCAAGTGGTAGAGTGCTAGCCTTGAGCTGAAGAGCTGAGGGACAGTGCCCAGGCCCAGAATTCAGGCCCCCATGACCGGACCCAAAAAAAAATAAAAAATAAACAAAATAAACAAAAAAAAAAAATCATTCCTAATACTGTTAAGTTCTGAAGAGGATTGGGACCACTTTTCAGGCATATTGATCCTGAAAGGGAGGAGTTACCTTTTTTTTACACTTTTATAACAAATCTGAACTTCCTACATAATGAGTTCATGAGTGAAACCAGATCGTTTTTCAGTATCTCTGGATTATTTATGATTAGGGAATCCTATGCTGATGCTTATTTAGAAGCTCCTCTATTATTATGCAAATGAGTTTGAATACATATTTCTGTCATTTTTCAATCAACATACTATCTGACATACAGTGAGCATCTATGACTTCCCCGAAGAAATTAAACTCTAATGTCTATTAGCAACATCATATGTAAATGATTTAGTAATTCCTACACATCTGGACTGGTCTTAACTAGGTACCATTCATTTCTTTCTATAGAGATGAATTCTGTGTAGTTCTGGTACAGAAAGATATATTTATACTGCACCAGAAATTGCTCTTTTACATATAATCATTACAACAACCCTGTGTGGTAGATACTGTTATTACACCTACTTGATGAGTAAAGAAACTTTAAAAAAAAAAAGTGAATTTGGTTGCATAAGAGAGGAAGACTGTAGATTTATTTTTTACTCTATTTTATAGCATTCTGAGTATAAAAAGAACAATGAAGCAAATAAGAGTAGGTGATTTATGCAAAGGTCCAAGCAAATTTGCTTCTTTGGTTACAACAGAGAAATCTGTCTTTAGTATTTATTTTAGCCTCTGGTGATTTAAAAATACCACAGATAAGGAATTAAAGATGAAATGAGCCAGGTACAAGTGGCTCACACCTGTAATCCTACTCAAAAGGCTGAGATATGGAGGATCATAGTTCAAAGCAACTCAAAAAAGTTAATTGGAGAATGCATCTCCAATTGAACAGCAAAAAGCTGTGGCTCAAGTGGTAGAATGCTAGCTTTGAGCACAAAAATGCTCAGGAACAGCACCCAGGCTGTGAGTTCAAGCCCCACAACTGACTATCTAGATAGATAGATAGATAGATAGATAAACTAAGATGGAATATTATGAATATACAACAATTCACTCCCCCTTTCTTTCCACACTCTGCTAAAAATTTAACTCATCCACATTGTGCTTCATTTACATATATGCAAAAATATACTTAACTTCCAAAGGGTACTTAGTGATTCTGGAATTAAAATCTACCTTTTGAGACACACATACTAGTAATCCTAACACCTGGAAGGCAGGGGCAGGAGGATCACAAATTTGAGGTCAAACTGGGCTACACTGTGAGATTTAGTCTTAACAAATAAAACACCTTCCTTTGAGGGCTGGGGATGTAGCCTCGTAGTAACCTAGAATGCATAAGGCTCTGGGGGTTGATCTCTAGCACCACAAAAACAAAAATATAACAAAAATATGATTTGCCTTTGGTTCTACCAATGAATATAACTCTCTTTACAGTTTATTGGAAACTTAAGTTGAAAAGTAATACAGGTGAAGTCTTTACCAAAATGTGTGGAATCAGAAGTGTTTAAGACCCAAATTTCAACAAGAACTTTATGTTTATTTTGGGTCCGGTTGTGGGGGCCTGAACTCTGGGCCTGGGCGCTGTCCCTCAGCTCTTCAGCTCAAGGCTAGCGCTCTACTACTTGAGCCACAGCGCCACTTTCGGCTTTTTTCATTTTTTGCTTATGTGGTGCTGAGGAATCGAACCCAGGGCCTCATGCATGCAAGGCAAGTGCTCTATCACTGAGCCACCTTCCCAGCCCCGAACTTTATGTTTTATATATTCCTATCTTCATAGGTTAAAAGCTATGCCTCTAGAAGCACGAGCCAGTCCCGCAGATCTGTGTCTTGCTTCAACAGTGCTTGGACGGAACAGACCCGGGGACGACTCCTTTCCACCACCAACTACCTCTCCACTCACCACCTCTGACCCTTATCTTCTTGCCCGTCGCCTGCTTCCAGGACCAACCAATGCCATTTTTTTCTGTGGTTAGCTCTGTATTGACGACCAGCCATGACCTCTCAGATTCGTCAGAATTATTCCACCCAGGTGGAGGCTGCTGTCTACCGCCTGGTCAACTTGCATCTGCGGGCCTCCTACATCTGCCTCTCTCTGGGCTACTATTTCGATCGCGAGGATGTGGCTCTGGAGGGGGTGGGCCATTTCTATTGCGAGATGGCTGAGGAGAAGAATGAGGGCGCCTAGTGCCTCCTGAAGATGGAGAACCAGGATGTGCAGAAACCTTCTCAGGATGAGTGGGGTAAAACCGTGGAAGCCATGGAAGCCGCCTTGGCCCTGGAGAAGAGCCTGAACTAAGCCATTGTGGATCTTCATGCCTTGGGTTCTGCCCGCACAGACCCCCATCTCTGTGACTTCCTAGAAAACCACTTTCTGGATGAAGAGGTGAAGCTCATCAAGAAGATGGGCGACCACTTAACCAACCTTCGCAGGCTGGGGGCGGCCCCTCAGGCCCAGCTGGGCGAGGATCTTTTCTAATGCCTCACTCTCAAACACGACTAGAAAACTCCAGAGTCCAGTAGCCTTTGAGGGGCCATCTCTGCCTCACCAGATATCAGGGTTTCTGCCCGAGCTTCTGCCTCTAGCCATTTGGAAACTTCCTAACTAACCATCCTGGAGCCCTTCCCAAACCTTGGACCAATTGAAAATAAAGCTTTTTGCAGCAAAAAAAAAAAAAAAGCTATGCCTCTAATGTAGGATATTTTGATCATACCTCTGTTTAAATTTAACTTGCCACATCAGGCCAGGTATAGAATCTTTTATTTGTGAAATCATGCTAGTTTCAGTTTCATATTTAGAGCACTGTCATTCATATTTAGAACTGTCCAATCTATAGCATGGTGTCCATAACAAGAAGCTACATTCCACAACTTCCAACAAAAGTTTTGAAAGTCACAATATCTGAGCAACTACTAAACCAGGCAATTGCTGCAAAGCAGATGTGATCATTTTCTGTTTGGTTTAGATTATTAACCAGATCCTACCTACTGTATCCTCTGATGTAACCTAATAGGAGATATAGGACACAGGTAACAACCACGAAATATTCTGTAAAATGCTACAGAGCAACTATAACTCAGCCTACTCTAAAATTATATTCTGGAGATAAGGGAAAGAGCTCATTAATTGGCATGTGCAATGTATGTATATGTATATATGTATGTGTGTATATGTATATTTATATGTATATGTGTATGCATGTACATATATAATATAAAATGAAGTCCTAATCAGTATCATTTAGTTACAAACCGAACTTGTCTAATCCAAAAAGATCCGAAGTCTACAACTTTGAGAGTTCTAACACGATGCCACACATGGAAAATTCTACCACTGACCTTGTTACCTTGTATAAGGGACACTCAACTTGTATCTGAGCTGAAAAGCTCATCTGTTAGCCATGTAACATGAGAATGGCCTCTGACATAGGAATGACCCAGGCAGAGCATATCCAATCATGGTTAATGGCAACCTAAGCTTGAATCGAACATTCTTTAAGCACATTCTACTTCTTGGCTTTTCAGTTATGAGGCACTAATCCTATTTATTTAAGCCAGTTCAAACTGGATTTTCTGTTATCTAATAAAAAGTATACAACCCAAATATTATAAAAATATGGCTAAGTACGTGAATGTGTAATATAAACTTTGTAACCTAGTAAGTACTTGAAAACACTGATTCTTGAACATGGTTGTAGAGTGGTAACACTGGGAAAAAAATATATAGATTAAAAAACTCATTCCTGACCTAGTGAGTTAATTTTAATTATATTTGAATAGGACTTAAAAATCACTACACTTTGAATCAACACCAGGAGTAACCTAATATAGCCAGTGTATAAAAAACTATGTTGGAAATGCACTAGTTTCAGCTACCTTTGTGGAATGATAATTTTAAAACAATAATTCAAAATTCTATGTATCATTAACATACATAAGATATCCCAACTATTAAATTCCTGATAATCATGTTTCCTAAGTACCTCAAATATTATCCCAGTTTAATTTCACTAAAGCCTTTCGTATATTTGACATATAACATAATTATTTCAAATTACCACCACTGTGGTAAATGTGGCAATAACCAAGATTCATAAACTTATTCACCAAGAGTCTCCACATTGCCAGAGTGAATATATTTGAAAACAAAAATAGAGGAAAACTGTCAAGAGCCCTTAATTTAATTTCTTTCAATTCTGCTATCAGTTTCACTTCATATTATTTCCATGTTAGTTTCAGCTGGTCAGTTCCCTGTCTATAGAGGTTGCTTTAATTTTGAACTCTCATCCCTTTCTCAGTTAACCCAGCTCTCAAGCAGAAATTATTCTTTTCAAGTTTGGTAATCTGTGATGAGGAACTAAATAAAATGTTTAGGATCTGAGAAAATTCCACGTGACCGCTATGATTAAGAACTGAGAATTGTTCTACAGAACGAAGAAAAAGCTTTGGCTCTTTAGGAAAATCCTTCTTTAAACACCAAAAGTCATCAATATCTGTTAAGACCTATGACAACAAATGCAAAATAGTCTAATTCTGTAACAAATTTATTTAGGTAATAGATTCATAAAGTGAAGTGAAACAAAAGTTATGTTTTCTAGAACAACATGCTAATATATAGAGAGGGATACCTTGCTAAGAGCAATGGTTAAGGTGTTCAAGTACCCAGGCTGCTTCTTTCTTTGTTTTTCTTTTTCTTTTTTTTTTGGTCTTGGGGCTTGAACTTTGGGTTTGAGCACTGTCCCTCAGCTCTTCAGCTCAAGGAGAGCACTCTACCACTTGAGCCACAATGCCACTTCCGGTTTTCTAGTACTTTATTGGAGATAAGAGTCTCATGGACTTTCCTGCCCAGGCTGGCTTTGAACCGAGATCCTCAGATCTCGGCCTCCTGAGTAGCTAGGATTACAGGCATGAGCCACTGACGTCAGGCTGTTTCTTTTCTTTTCTTTTTTTTTTTTTTAAGAAGTTTATTTATTTATTTATTTTTGACAGTCCGGGGACCTGAACTCTGGGCCTGGGCGCTGTCCCTCAGCTCTTCAACTCAAGGCTAGCGCTCTTTGTTTTGTTTTGTTTTGCTTATGTGGTGTTGAGGAATTGAACCCAGGGCTTCATGCATGAGAGGCAAGCACTCTACCACTGAGCCAACTTCTCAGCCCCTGGCTGTTTCTTTCTTAAGACATGCACATGAACGTATTTTATGACCCCAATCTTAAGGAGCCATAATCAGAAGAAGTTGAGGAAGAGACAAAATGTGCCCAGGATATGTCACACCACATATTCTGTTCCACTGTTCCATTTGATGGAAAACTCAACCTGTGGTCCACAGGAAAACAGAAAATGGGTATGAGTATGTATTTGTATAGTACATATGAGGTCAGCAAAGAAAGTAAGCTTTTTTGGTGGGGAGAGGGGTCCTGGGGCATGAACTCTGGGCCTGGGTGAAGTCTCTGAGCTCTTCAGCTCAAGGCTAGTGTTCTACCACTTTGAGCCACAGTGCCACCTCTGGTTTTCTGGTGGTTAACTGAAGTCATGGACTTTCCTGCCTGGGTTGACTTTGAACAGTGATCTTCAGATCTCAGCCTCCTGAAAAGCTAGGATTATAGGCCACTGGTGCCTGGCAAAGTAGACATTTTCTCAAGAGGTATCTTCACCTAGCACGCCATTTAAAAAGTTCAAGTATGAGCTAGGTGCCAGTGGCTCACACCTGTAATCTCAGGAGGCTGAGATCGAGGATAATGATTCAAAGCCAGCCTGGGCAGGAAAGGCTGTGAGACTCCTATCTCCAACAAACCACCAGAAAACCAGATGTGGTGTGGCAGCTCAAGTGGTAGAGCTCTCACCTTGGGCTAAAGAGCTGAGGGACAGTGCCCAGGCCCAAAGTTCAAGCCCCTTGAACAACCAAAAAAAAAAAAAGTCCAAGTATGACAAGGGTGGTTCATGCCTATAATCCTAGCTACTCAGGAGGCTGATATCTAAAGAGTACATACAGTTCAAAGCCAGTTAGGGCAGGAATGTCCATGAGACTCTTATCTCCAATTAAGAAGTGAGAAGTGGTAGAGCACTAGCTGTGAGTGAAAAAGAGTGAGCAAGAGAGTGGAGGCCTTGAGTTCAAGCCCTAGTACAAGCACCAAAAAAGTGAAAAGAGAGGAACACACAAGAACACACACACACACACACACACACACACACACACACACACACACACACACACACACACACACACACACACACACACACACACACACACACACACACACACACACACAGAGTTTTCTCTATAAGTTCTAAACAGCATGGTTTTACTTATTAGTGCAGCAAAACCCAAACAAATATGACATAAAATTGCTTTAAACAAGTGCTTGCCAGAAATGACTTATAGTGTATATATTACTGAAAAATACTTTTACCGAGGTAAAAGATATACAAGGAACCTCAGACTTGTTGAAATGCCCAGATTTGTCGGGCTTATTTTTTAAGGACATGCCTAAAAGGGTATTCTTTTTCTTTCTTTTTTTGCCAGTCCTGGGGCTTGAACTCAGGGCCTGGCTATTGTCCCTGGACCTCTTTGTGCTCAAGGATAACACTCTACCACTTGAGCCATGCCACAGAGTAAAAGGCCATTCTTGTTTATCTTTTCAGGGCTGGTTATAACTTACCTTGTCTTGCTACAGGAAGGACACTTCCTTAGACAGGAAGATAGCTGATTTTAAAAATTGTGTTTCAAGCAACAGGTTTTTGGTTTTTTTTTAATATGCTACATAATCAAGCTTTCGCTGTGAGAATTATATTTAGATGCAACAGCAGAGGCAGCAGAAGGCCCTTGACCAGAAGATAGATACAACAGAATCTAATATTTTATTTGCATCTAATTAAATTTCCCTACCTTTTTAGTTTTCAATTTTTTAAAAACTCAGCTTTTGGGATCAAGGTTAGCACTCTACCAGTTTGAGTCACAGCATCATTTCTGGCTTTTTGGTAGTTAATTGGAGATAAGAGTCTCATAGACTTTCTTAAACCAGGCTGGCTTCAAATCACGATCCTCAGATATCCTCAGATCTCAGCTTCCTGGGTAACTAGGATTATAAGTGTGAGCCACTAGCACTCAGCTTAATTTTCCAATATTTAAATATATAAAAGAGCTGACTCCTATATGTTTCTTCAGCTATATTTACCAGTTAATATTTTGCTACACTCAAGTGGTAGAGCGCTAGCCTTGAGCTGAAGAGCTGAGGGATAGTGCCCAGGCCCAGAGTTCACGACCGGACCCCCCCAAAAAAACAAAAAAAAAAATATTTTGCCACATTAGCATTCTTTCTCTCTAAAGGTATGTATTTGCATACATATCAACTTTTTGATCAAAAAGTTTGAACATCTGAACACAAACTGCTGACATTCTTACATGGCATGAATCACATAAGAAAAAAGGACTACATAACTAACCAAATGCCATTATATCTAAAAGAACAGTAATGACACCATTATCACTGAGTATAGTTCCTATTTAAA